GTAGTAGTAGTAGTAGTAACAGCCGCACGCGTTCTATGCCGCAGCAACGGTAGCAACTAGAAGTGATGCTGGCCAATAGGACGTGACAGTTACAGCCAGGTGTCGATGGACACGCGAAAGCCGTGAATGAGCTGCAAATCTCTGACCTGGGCTGTCAGACGCTCCTGTGAGTCTTGGCGTGCTTTTAGTGAAGCCCTTGCTTCTGCCGACCTTCTGCACATGAAAGGACCGACTGTGTAACAACTGCCTTGACAGCTGTCACAAAGGATCCTGCAGTCATTGACCGGTTGTCTTCTCGAAGAAAGTGGCTTTGGAAGACCGGCCGAACCCGCACACCTTCCTACCGTTAATCGATAGGCTGCGATTCTTTGCTTCGCGAGTTCTGTTGCAGAGCAGTTCATGCCACAAGTATGTTTCAACAGAGTCCGAACCTTTAGCTGATGCCTGGCAACAAAAAACCTAATCGAACATAAACACCATCTTGGAGACCTGGAACATGTACGAACACATACGTCGGGAGCAGGTGCCTGGTGCAGTGACTATGGCAATGGTTTTGAGGCTGTACTTGCATTTGTATTCTTGTTGAGGGTAACGATTGTAGCTGACGAATACATCCTTGTCATGTAATTCTATGCGATTGTTTGTTAATGGCCGGCGCCTATGTCCTGCGGCGTACAAGCCAAACAGCGGACAATGACGTGGGAAGATTCGAGCTTTATCTTTAGGATAGTTTACGTGCACCTCAAAAGCTGTGACAGCCTCCTCGAAAATCCCACCCGTAAGTCTGAATTCGAAGCCGAAACGAATGATACCCTGGCTCTGAACCCAATATATGACATAAGAAGCGAAGCTACAATTGTCGAGCGCACAGAGCACTTTTGAAGGCTGTTCATGAAGGAGAAGTGCGATAGCTTTTGCAGAAGTGTCGCGAACACCAGCAGCCCGCCGCATAGTGAATGCACAAACACCATGAAACCTACAACCCCCTGCAAAGCCTCGCGAAACCTCGGAGATGCGGCTGTTGTTCCGCGAAGCTTGCAGACTCTTCAGCCCAAACGTATAATCTAGTATTCTGTTATAACATATTAGAGTATATATATATATATACCATTTGTTATAGCACAAAGGGGCCCGGACATGTAGAATCCAGCAATCCCAGCGGCCAATCACCTTCAGGCTCTGGCGGTCCTTGGTTCCGCGGCGGATTCTATATGGGGCCCTACACGGGCATCCACAAGGGGTCCAACTAAGGGGTCTCTCAGACTTCTACAAGAAATCTAACTAACGAGGGCGTAAGTCTAGGATCTTGGGCCATCACGTCTTACAGTCGGCTCCGGGATACATTTCGGGCCGAAAGCGCCTTGCAGGAATGTTCCCCGATGGCACTTGCAACATATTTGCTCCGGGAGTTTCCATGGATGCAGTATCGTTTAGGGCCAACGGGTTATGTTCGTTGCAGTGCGTATCCCTAAGCGTGAACCCCACCCGGATGGGGTTCCACTTTCGAATATAGGCTCCAAACCCTGTCGCGGCACTCAGCGTCAGACAGGCCAGGGCTTCTATGTTAAGATGCATCATACATCCCTAAGGGTCCATGTACCC